AAAAAAAAAAAAGTCCTAGAAACAGTAGCTTGCAGTTTTAAGTAACCTGTTTTCTTCTTCCAGTAAGAACACTAGAGCCATGACTCATAGCTCTCATCTCCAGATACTAGACTTAGCCTTAACTTTCATGTTTGTGTGAATCAGCTTTCTGCATTGCCTCTCCTTCCCATCATTAGCCAACAAATTAGTTAATCAGTTACGTCTTTGTGCAGCCATGGTGGCTTTCAAATCAGCTAAGCCCTCTGAGGGAATATCTGACAGGTCAGGAAGCTCTTCTATTTTCTTATTTTTCTGTATAGCTAGAAGAGAGCTTGGCCATGGTAAGCAATGTTGAATGAACCCTCCAGCCCACACAGTTCTTCTGCTAGGATAGTGTCTCAAATGCCTTTTGTTTATTCTGTGTGGAATTATGTGCAACACTGTCAGAATTGGATACTCTAAGAGCGACTTCTCCTTCAGGTGATTGTTCCTGAGAAAAAAAGCATAATTTATTATGCATATTTGTTCCTTTGTTCTTTTTATCCACCTTTTGAGAGCTTGAATGTAGCTTGGTAGCAGTACTTAATGCCATCAGTCAAAACGAGTTATGGTTCAAGAGGAAAAAGAATCTTCTTATATTGATCCAGTGTCCTTTTGAATCATCTGACCAATGCTTAGGCAGCAAGAAAGGGAAATATCTTTTTGAAGGAAAGATATCCTTAAACTGACCCTTGGTCTAAAAGACATCCTGTTTGTAGATGGAGAAACCCAGAAAAAGCTCTCAAAGATATTCCAGTCAATTTGTACTGTGAAGGATGGATTGAGTTATCCTAACATCAGTCTGACAACATTAATGTGACACTTTAATGAACAGATACTCAGTATGAACTTGTAGTAACATAAATATCCACAGCTTACAAGAGGATATATCCTGTTAATAATGTTTAAATCATGACCTTTTAGGTAATTCTTCTCAAAAGCCTTATTATCATTCTTCCATTTTGTGTTGTTTTTTTTTCTTTTCATTTTAATATTGCAGCTTTTTACTTGCTTTTCTGTAAATGGTACAGAAACCTCTTCAGCCTTGTAATCTCTATTTTATTAAACCAGTATCTTTGTGAAGGGTGATTTAAATATGTTCTATATGGTTATGATTAGTTAATTTAGTTCAGCTTGCGAACAGTTGCCTTGTTGAAACATTTTTAGTAGTAGTTTGATGCTCTTGTCTCCTACAAATCTAGCAAATGTTACTTTTTAAGTGCAGATGCTGCTGGTAGTGGTTTTCTTTTCACTGGGGAGGTATTACTAACTTAATTTGTGATCTGCATATGTAAAGTTTAGAAGCAAGTGGGAAGGAGGCATTCCTAATTAGCAAAAGATTGCTAACACACATTGTACCTCACTTTTTTATATAACAAAGTGTAAATTTTAACAGATTGGGACTCCTAATGCTATTTTTTTCTTATCTACTTCAGCATTTTTGGGCAACACACAGTAAGATAGAGAGAAGTTTTACCAGGGTTTCCTCATGAAGGCTTTTAAACCAGTCCTCCTTATAAACTGATTTTTGGAGCAAACTGTCTAACATGTTCTAAAAATAGCTGCTTGAGAGACAAAATGCTTTAGCAGTTTACTAATATCACTCATTCCAATTTTAAAGTTGGATGCTGAAACTTGAAGTGACCTTTACACTATCCACCAAAAAGTGTCAAGGATTAAAGGAGTTTTTTGTTACTGCTTATACTATTTGTATAATTGCCAAGTCATACCAACTTTCTGGCAATTTACTGGCCATTTGCATTGCTATTTACTTAGAAAACAGTATACTTACTAGTAAATCTGTGTGCTTGGTGACGTAAAGTAACTTATCCTCCTTTTTCTACAGATGCAAGTAGTAACAGAGTTAAAAACTGAACAAGATCCAAACTGTTCTGAAACTGATGCAGAGGGAGTGAGTCCTGCCCCTGTAGAATCTCAGACGCCAATGGATGCAGACAAACAGGCCATTTACAGGTAGTAGTATGGACTTTGGTTATGCCTTTGAATGGTAAAAAGTACAGGAGTCAGGGATTTTTTGTCTTCTAACTAATGGGCAGGCTAATGCTGTGCAAGCTTTCAGATGCCAATTTCTGTAGTTTGCAAGAAACTGCTGAATAAATTCAGTTAAATTCATTACACTACCAGACTGTTTAGACAAAGTTTTCCTACTTAAAGATTCCTTGCAGCATTCTGAAGTACATATGTATCTGTTATTCAAGGAGAACAAACATCAAGGTTTTAGTTAGTAAATTATTTTTCTTTAGGCTACTGAGTGGTAGCAATTAATACTGTCGTTTTTTATTTTTAAGTATGAATAGTACTTGGAACCTTATTGTTTGTTGTAATCAACCAAATCTGTACTACTTTAAAAAAAATTGGCTTTAGTAAAGAAACTTCGTTTGCCAAATGTTTTCATGTGTTTTAAGTGAGAGAACACTGGTACTGATCAAAACTAAGCATATAGAGGCCTTTTTACACCATTCTCCAGGATATCATTTTTAGTGCACCATTTCATTTGAGGATCTTGAAGTATTTTACTAAGGTATTTATTACAGATGAGTTTGCAAATGGGGGAAAGTGAGGCATAAGGAGGCTAAGTGACTTGGCTAAGGTTACAAAGTAAGTTGGTTGTAGAATCATCTTAGTCCTCATCTGAGCCAATCTTGTTAATTTCATAGAGGGCCTCTGAAAGTATAGTCTTACTTTAAATCTGAATTCATCCTGTTTGTAAGTACTAATCCGTTATAACCCCACTGAATTGTTATATCTCTAAATACTATTACAATTAAGAAAATGACATTTCATAGTTTCATAACTGATTTGTAATAATAATGACTTTTGCACATTATCTATTTAAACAGACCTAAAATTGTATAAATTATAGCTATATTAACCTTTAAACAGTAAATCCGAATGAGTAAAACTGTATTGCATATTTATGTAGTCAGTCATCGTGTATGTAATTTTTTTCTAAAAAGATTGTTACATTTCTAGATAAGTGATAAGCTTTTTACTTTTTATTTTTACTTTTTATTTTGTTTTATAATGAGAACTTTGAAGTGAAAAAATGTTCTTACCTGTATGTGTTTGTTTTTTTGTTTAACTTTTGTTCTAGGCACCCATTGTTTCCCTTGTTAGCGCTATTGTTTGAAAAATGTGAACAGTCTACGCAGGGCTCAGAAGGCACAACTTCTGCTAGTTTTGATGTAGATATTGAAAATTTTGTAAGAAAGCAAGAGAAGGAAGGAAAACCGTTTTTCTGTGAAGATCCAGAAACTGATAACTTAGTAAGTGAAAAGCCATTTTTTTTGAAGTAAATAATATTTCTGCCTCTTATTTCTAATTGCCAATAATTTCTCATTATCTCAGTTGGTGGTTATAGTAGATCTTCCTTTTTTCTTTTGTCCCATAAAGGCAAACAGGATTTAGACTGTGCAATAATGGGTACTTGCAAAAAGGATTTCAGCAATTCAGTTGCTTGGAAGGAGCCTGCCAGAACAGCATTCCATTTTAAATCGAAAGTGCTTACTGTCTATACAAAAAAGTCCAAGAGTACTCTGGACATGCATCCCATACAAAATGTTTAATGATCTTATTTGTATAGAAAGTATATTACCTTTATTTCTCTCTCTAAGGTATTTAAGGCATGTATGCGTGTGCACATGCACGCACATGCACACTCCCCCCTTAATCAGTGAGTCAAGCTTTCTGTGTATATATAGGTTTTGGAGGGCTGGACATTTCTCATAAATTCAATTTCACAAGGGCTATTTTACTTGTTGCTGCTTCTTAATAGGGCTGTGACTTCAATGGTTCATAAAGACAAGCGGACCAAAAGAATGTTGATTTCTGGAACAGTTATCCCTTCAATGTCTATCTAAGGGACTTAGGATCTAGGCCATCTATGTAGAGCTTAGGCTCAGTTTTACAAAGCATTATTCTTTGAAGTCAACTTCAAATAACGATTGAGGTTTGACTTACAAAATCTATTGGAATGCTTTTGAGTCAAGATAAGTATTCCTTTATAATCTGTTTTACGCTCTGTTACAGTGTATTTGTGTTCTGCCTACATTGCTGAAAGTTTTGGATATTTATGTAGACTCCAGAAGTAGGACTTTCTTTTTGCCAAAATACATTATAAAGTCCTACAGTTACACATACTTTTAGAAAGTGTATTTCATAAATTAAAAGACAAAGGTTAATAGGGATGCACTGAAAGATTGTTTTGGACCAATATCAATGGCCTCTTATTAATGAGACATATTGACCAATACCAGTCTGTTTGCCGATATGCAGCCCAGCAGTTTGGAGATCAGCATCCAGTTGGTAAGTTGGGGGATAGAGGGGGTGAAAACTGAGGCCTCTGTGTTGAGCGAGTGGGGCTGGGACTGGGGGAGGTGCTGCCGAGCTGGGGTGGAATGTAGGACGGAGCCATGAGTGGCTCATCCTGGGGGGAAGTGGCTACTGACATTGCGCACACCCCCAGGAGAGTTATAGTGGGGTGTGCCCCCCAGATCTGCACACAGAGTGAAGCTGGGCTGCCATATGTGGGCTGGGGCCAGGGGCAGTGCTGGGCTCTTCCTGGTAGGGGGGTTGGGCAGGGGCTGGCCAACCTCCCTGGCCTCAGCCTGCAGAGAGCAGCCTGTCCTCACACTGCACAGATGCAAGGGGCACACGCCCCTCCAAGCCTCCCCCAGAGGTGCATGCACCCCCAGGATGAGCTACTTGCGGCTCTGTCCCATGCCCCGGGTGTGCAGCGCCTGCCCCAGACCCACTCCCTCCCTCACTGTGGGGGCCTCGATCTGCACCCCTCCATGCCCATTTTCCCCCTCCCCCCTGCCCGTTCCCCAGCCCCAAAAGGCTTACCGGCTGGGTGGGCTGCGGTCCTGGCTGCATGCATGCTGTGGCTGCAGGCATGCATGCAGCATTTATTGGCGAAATTATCAGCCAAAAAAAACTGCTTGCCAATAATGTCAATTTTCCTTTGATTGGTGTCAATACAATATGGACTGACGTATTGGTGTACCTCTGAAGGTTAATGCTACATGGCAATATGTTGAATTGAAAGAAATAGGCATTAGGGTGACACGGGTTGGTGTTAATGTATCTTATATAGCATGCATGTGACACTGATGTCATAGTTCAATTGCATAGGGTTGCATGGACTTTTGCAATATAGTATAACTTTAGGGTGGGCTTGTGAAATTCCTGAAAATAGACAAAACAATTAATAAGGGATTTGGAGAAGAGATGGACAGCTGATGTGGTGCCACTGGGCAGGGGGCCTGGAGAACCTTTTAAGCCCCTTCCAACTTCAGTGTTCAGCAATATAGCCTCCTCTCCCTTTAGTTAATCACCATATAATTTTTAGCATATTTTTGTTTGTACTTAATGTTACATACTAAGTAAATATCATGATTGGACACTCAGATCACAAAAGTAGTAATATAAATTGTAGCCCTCCAGGTTTGGAGCCCTTGTAACACCCTTCACGAAGGGGCATGCAACTCCAGTGACTGGTTCTGCTTAATATAACAGGCTTTTGTCAGTCCTGTGCATATAGCATTATCAGGGTTTGACTGCATATCTTCCTTTTCAGCAAGACAAAGTACCACTCTAATGGAGCTCTACTGCTTAAAGTACCTGTTTGGATCTAGCTTTGATATTCCTGGCTGGTACTGCATCAGTGCCATCCCAGCATATTTCCCTTGCAGCATTTCTTTGCATTGCATGCAATCCATCCTTAGGTTTCTCTTGGCTCTCCAGCAACTTATTCACAGCTCAGAACACAACATTCCCTCTGTTAAAGCTAATTTAATAAATCCTTATATAGGTACAGTCTCTCTTAACTTGTCAGATTTAACCCTTTCCTCCTGAGGCTACTAATTTGCCTTTGTTCCAGGGCCCCGGTTTCCCTTCTACTTACCTTTCAGCCAGAGTACCTGGTCAGTGTCATTGAAATCCCTGGCTTTCTAAAACAGTGATTCTCAGCTGTAGTGCCATGGCTCCCTGTGGTGCCTTGAGACCCTTTCAAGCATGCCACAGGGTGCTACACAATCCTAGCACAGTTAGGTATGCAAACATAATTTACAAGATAAACTCAAAGATTTCAAACAGGGATCTTGACTGTTAAAGATATTCTGACCTGTCACGGTCTTCTTGAACTCTTTGCAATGAAAGAATTGTTGTGTATAGTCAAAAAACAAGTAAAAACTAGGAGCTGGCATTTTCTAAGGGGTGCCTTAGATTGATCAATGGGTACCTCAAGTCTCTCAAGGGATGCCTCAGCTTTAAATGCTTAAGATCCACTGCTCTAGAGAATCTGTCCTATAGATCTTTCCCTGTCTCTGTCACTAGACTTATGAATCCTTTTTCTTGGTTGAGGGCTTCTGAAGCCTTCTTTCATGGGCTATGTTAAGTCAGGTTTCCATAGCCCACCCAAATCTAGATTCTGACCCCATGTCGCAGAGCCTCCCTTTATCCTTGGTCTTACTCTTTCAGCAAATTCAGGGCAGTTGTGCTGACCTCCTTTCTGGGCCTGTGCTCAAATTCAGGCAGATTTCCCCATCCTACTCGTTACCTTTCTTGATATGAAAGCCAGAACCTGAAACATCTCTCCTGCCTCTCTGGTATTCTTTCCAAGCTGTCTTTCTGGTCTTTCCTCCCCAGAGTCACTTAACAGCTGGGTTTTATCATTTCTGGGAGGTAACTAACCCATTAACATTTGACCCCCATTTCCTAACTAATGTGCTGCTGTTCTGAATACCAGGCCCCTTAAACGGACCATTTCATGGTACAGGGGATTTGGTGGTCTCCTTTTATTCTTCAAAGGGGAAAGACCACCCGTTTTATTAATTTATGTTAATTTCAATTCATAAATGATACTAAATAGATGTAAGTTGTAAACAGAGTCAGGCTAGAAAAATGTTTCTAATCTTGCTAGGTCCCTTTGTATTAAAACATGAAGCTGACTTCATGTGTGGGAGCAAGAAATGCAAGCTAATAATATATTTGAGGAAAAGTAATCAAAAAACAAGAATTCAGCAGGAAAGAGAAACCTGACAAGTTGAAAATGACAGAGGGTTTTGGAAGTGATAAAGCCAGTGATAGTGAGAAGCAAATTGGGCTCAAGTACAAATGTTTGCAAAATATATGTATAAAAGCCATCACCTCATGGAACAGGGGGAAATAGTCCTACTCTCTAGGTTGTTTGAAATATTGAGTTGCTTTCTAAGCACAACACAGCCAGTTTATCACTATCTTTCTGGAAAGAGTGAAAAAAAGATGTCAAAAGCTATTGGGGAGCTGATAAAATGAGTGATTTATTTTTAAAAATTCTAAAAAAAATTAATACGTATTTAAGCTAGGGTGCTGTGGAAGTTTGGGTTTAATATTTAAAAGTAGACATATTCAGCTTGAATAAATCTTGAGATGCAAAGAATAGTTCAGGATGGAGGATGACTTGGAGACTAAACTTGAATGCCAGGGACATGAGAATACAAAGTACTACTGAAGATATTTTCATTCTCAAGCAAGAAGTTTCCTTTGGTGACTTGTACTTGAAGGTGAATAAGCAGGAAGAGACAAGAGAAGTGTTGAAAAAGATGGGGAAGCAGTTAAGGGAGAAGTTAGGTGCTGACCAAAACTAACTTTTAAAACAGGGGTGTCCAGCCTTTTTGAATGTAGGGCCGGATCTTGAACTTTTTTCACCCGGTGGGCCAGCAAGCCATATTCAAAGACCTCACAGGAAGTGGTAT